TCCTTCCTTCCTTCCTTCCTTCCTTCCTTCCTTCCTTCCTCCTCTCTCTTTTTTGAAATAAAACTTTCAAGGGATCTGGCCTCTTAACGGAGCTCCTTAAACAGCAAATAACACAACCAATTAGTATTTTAGACACAACAATAGAAGACATTGTTAAAACATAGTCAATAAAATATTTCCTCATAAAAGTCTAGTGAGATGATAAAAATATTTATATTCATTATTAAAAACAAAAACCAAAGAATGCTTCATCTTACAAAAGCTGAAATATGGGGAGTGATTTTTAGTTGTATACTTTGAAAAGGATGTTGACCAAAAGGAAAAAAAGGCCCAAAATGCTGGACTGTATGCTTATTTTGAAATTATGTATCAGAGTTATAAAATCTATCACATATTGCATAGAGATTTAAAAATCCATTTGTAATCATGCTGGAGAATTTTATTTTGGAGAGAAGGATGAACTATTAATTATTTTCTGAAAGAATGAAGTAGAAAAACTGCTACTAAAGGTGTAAAAGATTCCTTTCTGTTAGTTACTCTTACTTTAAATACATGAGTCAGAGCTTCTTAAAAAGGACACAAAATTTGATCAATCCACCATTCAACAACCATTTACTAAGATTTGTTACCAGTGTCTCTCGACATGTTTAGCTGGCCCACCTTTTCTCAAATACATTGGATTAAGCCTCCCACTCTACTGACTCATTAACCCTCTGATTTTCCCACAGGCAAATTGTTGCAATGGTCTAGCTCAGAGAGGTAGGCCTCCAAGTTAGAACCTATCTTGTAGCTTTGTACCTTGACTACATCATTTGGATGCTCAGTTTCTGTGGAAAATCTATGTATGGTACAAAGATTCAGAAGTGTGTTACTTCATATTTCTGCATGTTCCTAAAATGGCTGTCAAACCATACTCCCTGGAAGTATATTATTTTGCTTCCTTGATAGTTCCTTTGTTGTTGTTTGTTTGTTTTTTTAAGCTTAAGCAGTCTTGGAGCCATGTGTGAGATGAGATGTCTCTAATCCTATATCTTCTCAATCGTTTTTTTCTGTGTATTTGCTTGTATTTGCCCTTCTTTCCTACTTGTTGGGACTTGGCTTTCCTCCCCAGGATCTTCTTGCAGTCCTTGTCCAGCTTTAGCCTGGTGATAATCACCTTGCTGAGGTGAATGCCCACATGAACAGTTGTGCCATTAGACTTCTCTCGCTGGACTCGTTCCATGTAGATGACATATTTCTTTCTGTACACTTGGACTGCTTTGGCCTTTGTAGTATCCTTGAACAACCTTAACTTCATCATCCTTTTGAATGGGCATAGACCTAACATTGTACTTCTGTCTTAGCTCTTTGGAAAGAGGGGAAGACATGATCTTCCCCGAATGTGAGAAGGTGCATTGAAACTCTGCAGTCCTTGCTTCGGTCAGAAGACACGAAGGGAATGCATTTCATTTTGGAATGCATTTCATTTTTGGTGGTGATGACCGCTAAAGGAAAAGAGATCTACACAGGACTTCCAGTTCTGTAAGTTCCTTGGTAGTTGTTCTACAAATATATTCTATTTATTTATTTTCATAGGTGATTGAAAGGAGGAGCCACTCCTCCCCTGCCTTGCTTCTCTTGTTAATAAACTCTCTCATCTGACACATTTGTCCACCCCTCAACTTATAATCTCTTGCTTAATGTTCTTTGTTAATGCACATAGTCTCATAATTATGAAACACCCTTTACCCCAGCTATCTGGTAAAGTCCTTCCCTGACCCTGTGTCTAGTGTGATTCTGGCTATCTTTTGCCCTCAAGTAATAAACGAGTCCAGAAATCACTGTGAAGAACCAAGTCTCTTCTTCATTTTTAACTTCTCCTGTGCTCCGAGCTCTTGTAAGTTCCATAGTGAACCCTTCCACTAGTCCAGGTCTTTGAGGTCTTTGAACATCCCTATAACTCTGACAAAAACATTTCTCTACCTGATAGTCATTAGTTTACCAAAGTTTACGAGGATCTTCAAAGGCCCAATTCAAGATTTATCTCCCTTGTTAAATGTTTTCCACATCCCTCCTAGAGTTCCTGGCCTTCTGAACTTGCTGGGGGTCATGCTGATTAGTGACATCTTTGTTTGCATTCATGGATGTTTATAGAGACTATCACTTAGCAAATAATTAAAAGATTGTCATCAACTGATTCTGACAAAAGGTCATTTTTGTTAGGGAGAGAATGTAAATACTTAGTAACTTTGGCAAATTAAATACAATTATCCTCAATATTCAAATTTGAATTTTCAATTAAAAACTGAGATACCAAAAGGGCAGAACAGTCTAGATAATTGCACAGGCTCTGAGGATGACTTGGAAACAATCCCTGGCTGTCTAGCTTTCCAATTGTATGACGTTGGTCAGTTCAGTGCTTGATTTCCCTGGGGCTCAATGTTCTCAATTGGAAAATGTGCCTTAAAATGGTAAGTCTTTTATGAGGCCTGGATAAGAACCTAACTGTTTGCCATGTGTAGTTAGAGAACTGAAACTTTGCTAATAGCACTGCTGTCATGATGTTGCTCATCTTATCTGATCCTGGGATCTTCAGGGAAAAAAATCTCCCAGAATAAACATCACACGAACAGCTGTAGCTCTCAACTGGGGACAAATTTGTTCTCAGGAGGCATTTGACAATGTCTGTTGCCTTTAAGCAAGTGGTAGTCACAAATGTACAAGGCAGTAATTCTGTATCACCTCTCCCCCCCAAAAAAAAAATCCATGACTCCAACCAAAAGTGAGGGAGATAATAGCATTTTATAATGCTAGCATACTAAGTGAAATCAATCCAATACTATTGTCTATCTTTTTATTTCTACAAAACACAGTAGACTTGGAATTCGTCAAAAGTGAAATAAGGAACAGAGTCTAGTGATCCAGTCAGGTCAAAGCTTTGAGATACTCAGTCTGCCTGGGGTGAATCACCTAATAAACCTCCTGCACCTCTCATTTCCTAAGGGAAAAAGATGCATTCTTGCGTGCCTTTCCCATCAAGGACAACTATAAGTATCTCTGTCTATTTTGAAGGAAGTTGTTAGGGAAAGACATTCATTTTTGCCAGATACCCAGGAAGGGTTCTTAAAGGCAAAAGAGAAGAGAGCTGTTTGTGCTTCAACAAAGGAAAGTGGGGTTTATTATCCTCTGAATCCCCAGTCTCAGATGTCTGATAACTTTGAACTATGGCATTTGTAGGCAAATTCCATTGAGCAGCATAGACTGCATTACTAGGCAAGTGAGATCAATGTTTGAAGGTCTAGTGCCTTTTTACCTTCTATTTCCACATTAGTGATTTCCTGACTTTGAAATACTCTGAGAGATCCCATGACATTTTTGAACATTTAGAACTTTTTCTAAGATGCTAAAAACTTAGAGAGGTAAGTCAATTTGATGAAAAAAAAAACAATGTGGGTATGTTGGTTCAAAAAGTGCATTGAAATGTGTGTTCATCTTACACTGTTTTCTGAGTTATTCTGTGCTAGCCAGCTGTGCTAAATCATTAAAGAAAACAGTCTACTTCTGAAAACTGAAAAAGAAAATCATGATTTTCATCACAGATTGGCTACTTAATATTTTTCCTTTTTATTTTTCTTGTTTATTCACTTTATATTCTGATAGATGACCCCCTTCCACAATCTCTCTCTCCATCCCTATTCCCCTTCT